TGACTCTCAGAAAGTCACCTAGTGTCTCTGTGCCCACATTCTCATTCACTGAAGAGAGATGATGCCAACCATATTATATTAGCCAGCATAGGTTAACAGTTGAAATGAGGTCCCTACTCCATGCAGGCCGTCAGGGGCTCAGTTACCTCCTGTCTGGTGACTCTGCCGCATACCAGGGACTTGCATTTTGTGGGCAAAAGAGGAAAGATAGCCCGGAGGATCAGGGACTTGGAGGGACTCAGCCTGGAAGTGACATACATCAATTCTACCTCTGTTCCACTGGCCAGAATTCAGTCACATGGGCTGCGCCTAAACGGTCAGTCTGGGAAATAGCATCCAACTACACGTTCTAAAGGAAAAGAAAATAGAATTTGATGAAACAGGGTAGTCTCCATCACACTTACCTAAACTCCTCAGGTGGTTGCCAGTAAGACCACGTGTGCATATGCAAGTGTGAAAGAGCTATGGAAAGTGGCAAACTAACATGAGCTGCAGATGAGGCTGGTATTGATGACTAAATCAGGGAGTATATCTGTGTATCGTCTGACATGCTAAAAAATACAGCCATTCAGGTATGAGAAGAAACTGAAATAGAAACAGAATACCTTTCCTCTTCTAGAAGAGATTCTTAAAGGAGGAAAGCTTTATCGACTTGTATCTTCAAAAATGAGACCCAGTAGGTAATAATTTCCTTTTGCTACCTGTTGATCCAATCCACAATGGAGGTATGGTGAACTACAAAAAAAATAAAAGAGCAGAAAGCCATTACTTTAAGGAGTGTAATTGTCAGAGCAAGAGGCAGCCCAAAGTAATCACTTGGTGGGTACAAGCCTCCACAGCAGAAATTTATTGCCACATAAAGATGATGGGGAGTTAATCATGGTACTAATATGAGTAACAACTCCAGGCACTAGACTCAGCATAAAATTTATGCTTAGAAAATGAAAATAATTAGGAAACCACACATTTGAAATATATCACTGAAAAGGGAGGACATCATTCAGGCCACAACACAATCATGGGCCTCTTTTCCACGCCCAGGGTCAGGCTCATGCCATGTTTGTAACCCACTAAACCAACTGGATGAGCGTGTGGAGGGCAAATGTGTCCAAGGGCATTGTGTTCTTTGTACCAGATAGATGCCTTTTATACTCTGTTTTGAGTCTCCGCATGGCCTGTCATGTAAGACGAAAGCAAACACAGTTTGCTACATGAATGTTAGTGCTTCAGGAATGCTCTAAGATCCTGCCAGCTGTAGTAAGGAGTCCAGGCCTGATCTGACTCATCCTCTGCCTTCCTCCTCAGAATCCTCTTACTTACCTCATTCCTATTGGCTGACCCTAGGTTCTGTCTGTCTCATATTTCCTTTGATCCAAGGAAAAGTCAGAGTAATCAAAGTGAAAGTGGTCAGTAGTCTCCAAGCAGCCTTGACTTTTAAATCGTATCCCCCCTTAAAGTGTTTTCTCAAAAGAGTAGTCAAATAATTAGCTAGAATACAGCAATCAAACTGATTAGTCAGACACTTCTTGGACTAGTTCAAACCTTCAGAGAGGATTTAATGACAGTCTTAAAGAACTGAACTAGGGTCCTCCAGTGCAGAGAAGTAGGGATTGCGGCAGAAACTGCAAGGGAGAATAGAAAACAGTGTTTCAAATAAAAATTTCTTCATCAACATATACAAAAATGACAAGAATTGCCCACATAATTATGGCAATTCTTCCTTTCCTTTTGCAATGCAGATTCCTGGCAGAGTGTGAAGGAAATTTAACTCCACTGTCCCAGTTTTTCAAGCTAAGAAAATAAAAGAATGATTTGTTCCCCACACTTTCCATGTTTACTTCTAAAGACCAAATGTAGGCTTTTAGAATCTGTGCACTAAAAGAGTATAAAGATAAACCTCATTACATTTTTTTAGGTCCTGAGTATTTGATTCTTTTTATTGTCCATCTTTCTAAAGCTATCATGGAAAGAAAAATGAAAGGACTAGTAAGAAAACTAGCTCAGTTGGTAGCAAGCCCTGTTTATCAATGACTTGCTGACACCTGTTACAGTTACTAATTATCTTAGCAGTGTGCTTCTGTTTTTGTATTTAACATGCTCTTCGTCATGATAAATTAGCAAGAACCAATCCAACTGTTTTCCATTTTAGGAGCTTCAAAAGGAAAAAAAAACTGAAAAAAAATTCTTAGCAGAAAGTGAATATAGGGAACTTCCCACCCCTTCACATATTGACTGATAACCAACCGACGTTGAGTTAGTGGTTAGTGAGGAGTGGGGCAGAGTACGCAGTTTCCTTTTTTTTAGTGTTGATTTGTTTTCTAAGCTGACACAATTCTAACTATTCAAAGGAAGCACAGATGACAGAATTAGTTAGAGTGGTGGTTAAGAGAAGACTCTGAGAAAATGACCAATGCCATTGATTCTTTTTATAGTGGTTAACAAATAGGTGATTTTCCTTTGGAAACTCACAAGGAAGTAGTAGAGGCAACAGAATGATGCTATGCTAACACATCCATATCGTACCCTCTGCAAGTAAATATGCTTCTAGATATTTTATGGCCCGTAATTAGTTGAAATCTGGAATTCCCTTTTTGTTTCTCTTATTACTCATTTGTTACTGGGTTTAACCGAGGAACCAGTTAGATTTGTTCATTTACTAAATAACATTTAATAAATGAGCACCTCCTTAATTTGTAAAATAATCGAGTTATTTGCTTACCCTGTAAGGAGATGGCATGTGCAAAAATGCAGGTATAAGGTATACTCAGATGGAAAGTTTTTCCAGGAAATTAAATTGTGCAAAGCCCATACAATCTTTTTGTTTTTTAATGGTGCGAAAGAGTTTTAATTAAATTATGATGTTTTACAGTTTTCTTAGTTTTAGTTCTGACTTTAGGAAACAGAGTAGAAAGAGGTAAATAATAAAAACACAGAAAACCTGTTCCCCAACAGATAATAAGTCAAACTGCAATACAAAGAAAAGAGTAGAGCAACGAGCTTTTCCAAAAATTAATCACGAGGTGCAGGCTGAAGAATCCCTTTACTTGAGGGACTTTCAGAACCCTTTTCCACCCTCCATTAGCTTTTCAAAGGTTTCGTGGTAAAGTTGCCTAACAGGAAGGAATACGACAGGGCCCACGGCACGAAGCTCAGTCTTCCAGTCCCCAGAGGGAGAAAAAAAGGTCTCCGCAGTGACGCGGGCAGCCCTCCACCCTCACCAGCTCTCCCTGTCCCCACGCGCCACCTCTCTCCAAAGACGCATGGCTCCACCACCTGCCCGGGAGAGCTTGCAGTCACTGTCTCCTCTCTTTTTTGCTTAGGGTGCTCTACCAAGCGCAGCCTGCAGCCGGGGCACTGCCAACTAACTCCTTTTATGGCGAGAGGATGGATTCTGTGCTGTTTCCCCGCCGGATCCTGGTACCCACCCACCGCATCCGCTACGCGCACCCAAGTCTGACCCAGGCGCACACGCGCTCGCGCTCCACAGACACCCTATTTCTCCTCCCTCCCCGGCCTCTCCGAGGTAGAGTCATAAAGCAGTTGCCCCCCACCTTCCCAAGCCCCCGATACTGCGGTCCGAGGGCAGAAGGAGAGAGAAATAGCCCACGCTGAGCCGCAGGCAACGAGGAAAAAGAGTCGCTGGTTTCAGCCTTGGCCCTACTGAAAGCCGAGGGAGTTCAGCAGTGGCCAAGGGGATACCAGGGAAAGCACCGGGGCTTCCCAGGGTCGCGGCCCGCGGTTCCCTCTCCACACCTATAAGGGCGGGAAAGCCACGAGAGCCGCCCCCCGCGGTGGG